ATATTATTACTAATTATGTCTTCATAAAAGATAATTTACTAAATCCACATATGTATAAAGAAAGGAAAGACTTCTTGCACTACAGCAGTCGTCTCTTTTCCCAACACTCACTCTATGTAATAACAGCCATAGTGGGGGTCTTCCACCTTCTCCCAACCAAAAGGCAGCTCTACAAAATAAAAGAGGGAGACACTTAAATGATAGGCCAGATGAATAAATAAAACTTTGAAATCAGTAGCGTGTGTATTAATCTTGACACTGGTGGTGATATATCAATAGCTCTGAAATGCATTGATTGCATTCATAAAATCTAGATCAATAAAACTGTCATGAATTTAAAAACTCCAAAATGTGAAGGTATGAAAACAGGACAGGTTAAGTGATGTTCGTCATAGAGGTTTCTGGAACCCTAACTGTTATGAGACAAAAATAAAGAAAACAATTAATTTAAAGTTAATCTTTACAACAAGATATAACATTAACCATTCAGAAATGTTTCTTTTTGTGTCAGTCAGATTATTTTGGCTCAGTTTTCCTCCTGTGATCTTTACAAGATCTGGAAATATGAACAAAGTATTTATCATTTCTGTGGTAATTAACAAGCTTGATCAATGGACATTCAACATATAAAGGACCAAACAAACATGTGACACTTTGGCTCATAACACCTCAGTTAACACCTGAGAAGACCAGGTAAGTAGTTATAAAATGTGTCCTATCCTTTGATGTTCCTCTCTCCAAGTTATCACACTTCCTATAGACAGGGGATTACAGCTGATTACAGGTATATGACACTCTCAGGTGTGATACACTGCACACCTGTCACTCTCAGGTAAACACACGCACAGGTAAACACTGCCACTATATGCTTTTAATGTGTGTTGCATGCAAAACATAATACATTTGGATGAAAATTATAACATCATCAACTTTGTTTTTCTCATTGTTAACTATTTGGTTATTACTTCAATCTAAAGTATTCTTTTATACCCCGTTCACACTGCAGTCATTTAACCGGTTAAATAGCGAATTAGGTCAAGATTCGAATTATTGCGGTAGTCTGAACGCATGAGGATTTTTGTAAACCGGTTTCCAAAAATCCTACTAGCGAGCTGGATTCTCTCCAGCGATTCGGTTACTTTACCATAAGAGCCACCTGTTTAGATGGCACTGCGCATGCACTAGCAAATCTCGCAAGAAAGAAAAGCAACATGCCAGGTCAGTGGACCCACACTCTCCATCGAAACCCAGCTAGTCTCCTTCTTGTATCCGTCAAATTCTTCCTGTTCTTACTTAATTCTTCCTTTTGACAACTTTTGGGTTAAATTTGATGTTCCAAAAACAAACACACGAGAAAAAAAAACTGAGTACGAGAGAGCAATGATTGGCGCCATTTTTTGTTTTCATGGATTCTGCGCATGCGCGATTCTTCAAACCAGAACCTCCACCTGAATTTTCAGTGCACGATTTGGTTTCCCTTTTGCTGTGTGTGGCCAGACAACCGAATCGAATTTTTCACCCGTAATTCGCATTGCAAAAATTCGGATATTTCAGATTGTAGTGTGAACGGGGTATTATTGTTTTCTTAAAACAATCAGTCATTGTCAAATGACTACCCCCCCCCCCCTCTCTCTCTCTCTCTCTCTCTCTCTCTCTCTCTCAATAAAATCTCAGCACCATGACTCACTCCCTGCAGCCTTGTAACAACAAGCTCTGGACTGAAACACAAATAGAGTCCTGCAAGATGAGCCACAAAGTTATTGCTTGAATAAACTTTACTGATAAGATAAATGTTGAGCTGCTCTAAGACATCAGGTGAGGGAGTGCAAACATACGCCATAAAAGATGATATTTCTCCAAGTGTGTGCATGCATTTGTATGAACATGTGTCTACGTGTGCCTTACGAGAACAGCGAAGGATTGGCACTAGCACCTATCTGAGAAAACATCTTGCATTTTGGCCAAAGGCAAAAAATCAATATCTTTAAATTGTTTTTGCAAAGGTAAATTATCTTTCTTATTCTTAGAATTTGAGAATAGCTATGTTACAACTGGGTCCAGCAAAGGCTTTCTAACAAATAACCACAGTAGAAAACTCTCTCCCTCTCTCTGATATATCTACCAATTGAATTAGAGTTGTTTACCCTATCTGATAAAGTCACACTTGGGTTTCGTTAAAAGGAAATTGCCAAATTTCTTATCTTGTAAACATAAAATTGCACTAAGCTAGGGAGAAGTTAACAGCAATTAGTTCTCAAATGCACAGAGATAAATGTACTTGTGCAAAAGTAAAGTAAAGGTTGCACTGAAAAGGCTGCCAACTGAGGAGGTATTTTGTCAATAAATAACAGAAGAGTTAGGCGTCTCTTCCCTATCCTCTCCACTGATGACATCTGACAGTTAGAACAGATATCATCTATAATATACAGCTATAAAAGGGTTCCATGTGTTCCCTCAGTTTTGACAGATGAACTTCTTTTATCTTTAATTTCACTTTCTCTTTTGACAGGGTGAACATTGAGAAATACACATTTTAAAGATTATACAATCCACAGGTAATTGAAGAAATTGTTTCATTTCCTCTTTTTATACTTCAATTTGTATTTTCTTTCTTAACAAAACACTAACATGACTCTTCGATAGACTTTGTCTATGGAATCAAAATTACAACAGGTTTGAATTATAATTAGGTATTTTTCTCTTTCCTATACTTCCTCTCGAGATAAGTCACTTCAGAAAAAGACAGGAAATGCCCACTTTCCTTAATGTCTTTGACCAAACGTAATTATCATGGATCAGTCATAATCAGTGATGATAAAGATATAGATATAGAACTGGAACTGTGGACAATACTTGATAAATTCCAGGCCCTGAAAAGTGTGGTATCAGTCTCTTCTATCTAAATTTCTACACTCCTTTTGATCTTGTATCAGTTAAGATGCTGACAGAGAGGAGCAAAGTTGAAATGGGGATCATTTCAATACAATATTTGTCCTCTGTTATGACAGAAGACATTCTACTGATTTTTTAAAATGTCCATAAAGAAATGAATGATGATTCAATATTAAAAAATAACTGGAAAAATAAAAATTTAAAGACCAGGAAATGAAACACAAAGATGCAAATTTGAGGATAATAATGCAAGTCTTGAGATATGTTTATATATCTAAATCCTCTCTCTCCTTACCACCTGTCATGACTGGTCAGCAGTTATAAAGGGATTTCATTCCAAATTAAACTTATCATTGGACTATGTATGCTGACCAGATGGACAAGACTTATTAATGTCCAGGTGGTCAGTTTCCAACACTTAACACACCTTGACCATTTATCTACATAAAGTCGGACAACATGTACACATCTAGGACATTTTATCACAATTAAAGAGTCAACAAAAGACAGACACTGCCTATTTCTTCATGACAAAAATCCTGCAATCAAAAGAAATCTGTATATTATTATGTGACAAGATATGACACTGAAAAATAAAGAAATCCCTTGCAGAAACGCAGAAAATACACACTACCTGCTGATTGGATGAAGCGTATCTTCCCCTCACAATCGGAGCAGTCGATCTGGTACATATTTCCCAGCATGCACCCCTGGTCCCAGACCATGCTAGCGGTGCCGCTGTCTCCGCCGATACTGCTGCTCTGACTGGAATCCGTTTTGGGCCCCTCGTCCACAAGCAGGTCTGGCGGGGGCGGGGGAAGATTCTCCAATTTTGTCTCTATCATTTCCATTGTTTCTTTTAGCTCCAATTTTGTTTCTTTCATAGTGTTTTGTTTCTCCAGTACACTTTCTGCTACTCTATCCCATACAAGTCATATTCGTATTTTATGAATAATGAATTTTCCTCTGTAATATCCTTCCCTCTATGTCACTCTCCTGTTCAATTCCTTTGTCTTTTAAGCTTGTGTTTTTTAACACTATCAAGCTATCCTCTACGGGAGATTAGTTATCATGCTCTCCCTGTATATATACACATCAGTTCACTGCTGGTATTTATCAAATATCACATGAATGTAATAACTCCTGGATAGCTGGCTCTACACTGGAGTCCTACACTGAGAATGTCATCTTACTCTTCCTAGTGTCTAACATGGTGCTGTGTATGCTGAAATGAATATAATGACCACATCATTGGCCTGAGCTGCCACAGTTACTGCTTGACCACTCATATATTGCCTTGTCCACTTCTGACAGAACTAAAGGCCAAACAGATTCTTTTTAAACTTGAAGTAGTACCAAAACTACAGCTAGACCTTTGAAAACAGTAAATAGCACAAACTCCAGGCCTAGAGCTGAAGCTGACAACTGGACTTCACCTGAATATCTCTAGCCTCTCTAAACTGACCACAACAGCCACTAACTCCTACTGGTCAGTGATGACTCAGACCACTGTCCACTCACCACCTGGACAGCACAGGGCCAGTAAAACCTTCTATTGAACACCATGAAAGCAGTACCACCTCCAATGTATCCCAGTGACTCAGGTATGTCCACTCATTAACTCACTATAACAACTTAATGAAGATGTGTGAAGTTTTAAATCTACAGTCTGAATAGAGGTATACCAGTCTGCCCCTTGGTGACTCAGACCCCTCTACTCTCTCCTGGACATAGGATTCCAGTAGAAATGTCCAGCCTCCTGTCAGCACCTATCACCATTAACTGTCTGTCCTCTCTCCCAGCCAGACCACAACAAGGTTTGTTTACCTTAGTTAACCCACTGTGCCTTGATAGGTTGATTTATTAATCATATAATTATCCTACAGATCACTCTTAATGATAGAGACCTGGGGGTGCTCTATCAACAGGTCTCCTGTGACTAATAGCCTATTAACCTTGAGCTCTTTCAAGGACCAAACCACAGCCAAGTTTGTTATTGTATAGAAACAAAAGATACTTCTTCCTATGTACTTTTCACCAGTATGACCACAGGAAAATGACCACTGACCACTGGCATGGGCTACTGTCCACTAACTGTGACCTTACACACTGGCTTTACAGGTGAAATTGGTCACATTGCAGTCCACTGACTGGTCACTCTTACTATTTTGACAGGTGCCCTTTTAGGTTCAGTCAACAGCCAGTAACTCTTCAGCAGTATTAAAATGAGACTATCAAAGGTACCTTCAGTAAGATACCCCTTTTCCAGTCCAAATA